TGCAGTTTCAAAGTGAATGGGCAGAAGCGTTGAAGCGGCAACGCACGCCGCCGTGTGTAGGGGCCGTTACGTTAACAAGATGGGAGGGCACCATCCGGGTCATATATAATATGATGTCTTTATTGTGATCAAACATAGTTAGAACTAGATGTCGTTGGCATCTCTCACTGCTGTAATAAAAATAGAGACAAATCATTCAAAGCAGTGACAATAGCAGATGTACTGTAGCAACAATGACAATGCACTGCTTTTTTTAAATTAAATGTCAATGTACATAATTACACTATAACATTTAAATATATAAACTACAAATATGTAGTTTTACTCATGGTGCATTTTTCCATACTTTGCATTAAAACGCATTTACACAAATGTAGACACTGTATGGTATTTTTTGAGCACACTTCCCTGTATTCCAAAGTCTTCAGCTGACCTATGTTCAAACTCCAGTAGGACTCAGATGAGGATGTTGCACTTTTCCTTTTCCTTGTACATGTGATGTTTTGGTGTTGTTTTTTTGTTTTGTTTCTTTCCGTTAACTGTCAAGTGGGAACTAAGTATTTTTTTGTACGTTTTTGTGTCTCTCTTATTTTCCTACAATACTGTTATGTTTGGCTGTGAATAAGAACATATGAAGGACAGACCATCGATTTCTATTTATTTTTATTTTTGAGAAAGGGGCAGGTAATATAAGATTATTTTCTTCTCCCTGCTCCTTTTTGGGTACGGTGTATTTATAGAGACATGTCTTGTAAATAATTGTTATACATTAAGTTGTGCATATGAACGGAACAAATACAAATGAAAAAATATCTCCTTTCCCCTGTCTTTGAAGGACGCCTTTGCCAAAGGTGAGGTGTTTTTGGGGAACAAGGACCACGGGTACAGCGCCTCGCCCGGCCTGCCCGCCGGCACACACTGCAACGGCGCCTGGCAGCACGGCGTCACCATAGAAACGCCCGACCGTGGCTTCCTGTTCACCTGCGAGTCAGAGAGCGACCAGCAGGAGTGGCTGAAACACTTCAATGACGTCATGAATGCTGTGATGTCCCCTCAGGAGTACACAAGTAAGAGTGAAGAACTTTTTGATATTCAATAAATATAAATTAGTTGTTAGCTTTTATAATAAGCTCCTGATTACTTTTGTTTTAAATACCTTTAGCTTTTGTTTACATCCAATAGCTACTCTGCTTCACAAATACTTAATACCCACAATAATGAATTGGCACTCAACTCTAATATTATTCAGCGCACAAATTAAATTACTTCTTCATCCTTAGGAGTTAAATATAGTGGTTGCAATGCTAAATCGCTCACCTTGACTATGTTTACATGATGAAGCATAGCAGGTAATGTTTACAGATGTTCTTGTTTAGCATGTTAGCCTGCTTTATTTACTAATGAAATGTGTTGTCCAGATATATATTTTTTACGCAATAATATCTAACATCTAATCGTGATACGGGATAAGTCATCAACAAACTCATTGTAATACATTTTCCAAAAAAACGGGAATGTCAATACAGGATTTGTTGTCAATACTTTTAAAGATATTTTACTCAAAGTGCCACATCTTTAGACAAATTCAACAACCCATATAAGGAACCCTAGAACTGTGTCACTAGCTCAGCCATAAAACCAAATGTTTGGCCTTCAAATTAATCATAATGATGGATCATTTTTAGTTTTCCGTCTTGTGTTAAAGAGCTGTGCAGTCCGATACATTTCTTATGTACTGCAAGAAAAGGACTAAACAGGGTTAGGGTCTAGGGCAGGGCTATTCAATTAGTTTGGAATGGGGCCGGTTGATGAAAATTATCCAAAGCAAGGGGCCGGGAAAAAAAGATGGCTTGAAATATGAGCAATCTATAAGAGCTTCAGATACAGTAAATACTACAACAGCATAGTGGAGTGCATGTATTGTGTTTGAATCAAACAACATAGCCCCAAGGCCTTTATAGATCTAAATGGCAAGTTCAGAACTCAGTAGGCCGACATGTGAAGCTGATTTAACCATCAACATCATTTCATTTGATTTAATTTAGGTGAAATTATCTAATCATTCACGCAGAGATGCAATCAATGACAGGAGTTGTCACCACAGTAGCTAGCAGGTGGGTTCGAAACCCGAGCCGGCCAATGTTTTCAGGCAATGTCTTCCCCTCTATCTCTCAATGTAACACCCTCTCTGGA